ATTATTATTATTATTATTATTATTATTAACTTTTAAAATCGTGAGTACAAGTAAAGTTTGAATTCTCTGTCCGATAGAAAAAAATAATCGTAAAATCTTTAAATTGACCGCAGGAGGAGAATGTGGCTGTCATCAGTTTTTCAAAATTGAATATTAACAAGTTCTAATTAACCGCAATGACGAAAGTGATTAGAATGCGGGAGTTTTGATATAAATTATTAGAAGAGCTAAGCACGCACCAGCACAAATGTTTAACAAAGGTCACACGTTATAGCGGCAGCAAATAAATAATCATAGAAGAAAACTGAATTTTAAGAAATAATTGTTTAAAAAAGATATAATTAAGGTTTATGCCTTTTGGAAAAGCTCGTTAAAGTGGGTATGTTGTGCACTTATAAATTTCTTAAGGCAGTTAAACACCTACAATTTGGAAACGAAACAATAGATACTAAAATACGTGTTTCTTTTTAACACTAAATACAATGGAAAACGACCTTTCTCAGTTTATAAAATTGTCTCAATGAAATGTTTGTGTTCCAAATTTTCCTTTTTTTATGAGCAACCGCCCATTTTTTGATGAAGAACGATGGACAAAGCCTTTTTTCCACTGAAAAGTGGGTAATGAAAAGAAAAACTTGCGGAGTTTTAAAAATGATCGTTATAGCTGAAGGTCCAAAACAATGGAATCGTTTATTTTCAGCCCCTTGTTATGATAAACTTATACTGAAAATCCACTTTAAGCCTGATAATCCTACAAGTGTCTTACACTTAACCCCCAACCTGCTTATCTTGGTTTATAGAATATTTTCTACCATGCCAGATAGATGTACTGTACATGTCGTCTTCTCATCGTATGCATGAGATATTTACTTTGTCTAAATTCTGATAATTACTTACAAATGGCTGGTAGTTTTTTGTGCGATATTCCCTCTCGAGTGAGAAAACGTTGCTGGGTTAATGGCATTTGAGCTCGCCTATCAATATGAATCCCACACAAATGATATTAAATACAATTTAGTAAAGCAAAAGAGTAAACTATTTTGGGACCCTCTGCAGCAGTTACTCGGCTTCTTGCGCAGGGATATACTTGATGGATGTTTGGCCTTACAGTTTCAAAAAAAAATGAAATGAATAAAATTTTGCTATTCTAGTAAAACATTTAGCTTTTAATCTTAATCTTCTTATTTTTTAAACGGCTGACCAAGCGTCCAATCACAGAAAAGCAATCTTTTCCGCTTTACAGGTAACTAGCCACAACACACAAATAACAGTTTCCTCCGGCGACGAGAAAATAAACGTGCTCATTTAACTTTTGCCTTCCTGAAAAGTCAATTTTTTACATTTTTTATGTCAAATTGTGATTTATTTTGCTAAAACACGAAACTGAATTTAAAGCTGTTGTTAAAATATAAATGTTGCGTTCAAGGACGGTTTAAGCTTTGTTCACCCAACATATTCATAGTAAATTTTTTTCGGTCAAAGTTAAGAAATTTTTACTAACGTAAAGGAGAAAGGTAAACACCCGTGACAGCTTAATTTCGTAGCGTTGATAAACATTATTTTTTAGCTACCAGAGGCTCATTAAGTACTTACTATATTTTTCTTTTCCGGACCAATACCTGCTAACCAATCAGAATTAAGCTTGACCAAAGCTTGTCAATTAAATTATAAAGTTCATGAAGTACCTTTAATTAACCACAATAGGTATTTAAGTTCATCCCCCATAAGGCTGTACACGGCCACAAATACATTTACGTACGAAATTAAAAGCACAGGGATTTCGCTGCTCTCCACATTTCAATTGTAGCGGCTTCAGGTGGTCAAACTGACCTTTCATACGAATCTTGGGATGACAGAGATTGAAAAGTTTTGAAGAAAAGCTTGCGTCATGGTAAGAGTTGCACTTAACTATCGTTTTATTTCAATTGAGCAAGATTCACAGAGATTTCTGTCAATTTTTCGTGTTTATTTTTATGGCCGCAAACTGCGTCGAGACCTCATTTAATTGAAATTATTACACGAAAAAAAGGAAAAAAACTGTGATCCCGATACTTTAAAAGAAAAACCTTTTAAACTCAGCTTTATTGAAGAAAAGGCCGGAATTCAATTTCAGACATTGGTTGACAACGTTCGTTACTTAGGCAATAATGACCTTAACGCTGCTTAATGTATCCCTAAAAACTAGAAAGTCTATATCTAAGATATCTGGAAATTTTCAAAACATCCTAGCATTAAAAATCTTTTTCGAGAAAAAAAAT